GAAATTCTGGAATCTGAGGGTGCAAAAAAATCAAAATACTGAGAAAATCGCCTTTAAAGTTGTCCAAATGAAGTTCTTAGCCATGCATATTACTAATCAAAAATTAAGGTTTGATATATTTACGGTAGGAAATTTACAAAATATCTTCATGGAACATGATCTTTACTTAATATCCTAATGATTTTTGGCATAAAAGAAAAATCGATAATTTTGACCCATACAATTTATTTTTGGCTATTGCTAAAAATATACCCAAACGACTTAAGACTGGTTTTGTGCTCCAGGGTCACATATTTGGTTTTGGAGGGCTGAAATCATTGACCAAAGCTGTGACGTTTAATGAGCATTTCTGCAATGGCTAGTGTTGGATTAACAATATTGATTTCTCGTTTTTAATAGATCTCCATTCTGTTGAACAGAGATCTTTTAGTCTGTGCTGTTTTCAGTTCAGTAAACATTACTTATAGAATGTCTGAAATCCAATAATCGCATTAAGGTTTGAGCTTTTGATATGTGCAAAAAAAGCCTGAGCATTCAAATTGTCATTTTTATAACAAAATTCAAACAATAAATGTTGTTTTGATGCTCCTCCATGCGTCGTAACAGACCGCTGTAGCACCTCAGTTCAATCGGCACGTGAACCAATAATCTCTTCCTCTTTACTACTAGTTATAGCAAAAAAACATGAATGAACATCAGAAGGTATGCTGAATAAAACTGTACGACATAACGAAATGCATCATGTCTAATTTAATCACTCAAAGTGTTTCAATAATGTAAAATCATCAATAAAACATAACTTTTACCTCAGGAAAGCCATTCAACTTCCATGAACTCGTTAGTCAGCTAGAAAAAATAACTCTAGAGAGGAGCATTTTCATAAATATATGCACTATATTACATACTCATTATATTTTTACTTAACCTCATATATTCATTATTTAATGCATGTTTAAATAAATCTGTCATGAAAACAATCTTTTTATTACAGACACTGTTTAAATGTTAATATTTCAACAACAAATTGGAGCAGAAATATAATTATATCATTAAAAAGTTTATATAAAGCTGCCTTATGTGCAATTTACATGTTTATATGCAACTGTGTTTTTAATTTTTATTTTTTTTGAATGTTGATTATTAAAATAAATGTAATTGATTATTTTTAAAAAATGTTTTTCAGCTAAATGAAAACTTTAATTTCATATTCGGTTTTTTGGTTAAAAAAAATTATTTCAATAAAAACTGGGGCAGAACCATAAATCAGTAAACATTTTATATAAAAACCTGCAATTTATATACAACACAGTTTTTATTTGAGTGTTGATTATTAAATAAATATAATTAACTAATTATTTAAAAAAACATTTTTGGTTTTCAGCTAAATGAACATTTTAATTAAAAAGTTAAAATAAAAATGCCTTATGTGCAATTTAAATGTTTATATATAACTCAGTTTTTATTTCGGTGTTGATTATTAAATACATTAAATATGTAATTAACTGAATATTTAAAAGTATTTATATTTTCTGTTTTCTGCTAAATAAAAATTGTAATTTCGTTCTTGATGTTTTTGAAAAAAAAATCATTTTGGTGCGTGACTAAAAACTGTTCATCAACCCATACAGACTAGATTTTGAAGTCTTTTTGAAGATTAAAGCACAATTCATGTAAGTGTTGAAGGACTCACTCTGTAAGAAGCGGATCTGTTTAGCAGATTCTTCAGTCTGCTGTCTGTTGGTTCTCCTCTCTTCCTCCAGAAGAGCTGATGAGAAAAAGACGCTCAGCGATTCACACAGTGCAATCATGACCCTCGATTATTAATGACGAATCACTATGAAAGGAGCGTTTAGCACCCTGCTGTACCTTGCAGCTCGAGGCATTTCTGTTTGCCAGTGTTGGCGAGCTCTTGGGCCTCCTGCAGCTCTCGGTGGAAGTGTGGAATGACCTGCTCAGTGTCTCCAGCTTCCAGGTTCCTGTCCATTTCTACAAATACACACAGAGCAGACGCTGTAGTGAGGGAGTATGAAGAAATAACATGGCTGACACAGAGTGAAAAAGACATCAAGAGAGATAAATTGACAAATGAAACCTCACACACCTAGTACTGCATTTATAACTCATCCTGCCCGAACATGAATGATGCTTTAAATCATGCAGCTTGTTGCGAAATCCTAGTACTTTTCTTAATGATTCTAGCCCTTAGAGACTCAAGCATTAATACTGATGATGCATTCATTTTTCACACCTAAACTCCTAAAGTCTTTAGGAAGCCATTAGCTCTAAAACCCATTTAGTTCAGGCAAAATTTGCACTGGAGTTTAATTTGGGAAAAGGTTGAGATTTAGTGCATTCAGTGCTGCAAAACTTTTTTTGATACAGTAAGTGAAAGTTTTGAAAACACATTTCAGCACACAAATACACTACTGGTCAAAAGTTTGGGATCAGTAAGACTTGTAATGTTTTATAAAGAAGTCTCTTATGCTCATCAAGGCTGCATTTATTTGATCAAAAATACAGAAAAAAACAGTAATCTTGCAAAATGTTATTACAATATAAAATAATGGTTTCTATTTTAATATCCTTTAAAATATCATTTATTTCTGTGATGCAAAGCTGAATTTCCATCAGCCATTACTCCAGT